CGCTCAAGAACGCCGGGATTAAAGTGTCAAAATGCTGCTTTTGAATCGTGTCGGTTGTGATTATCCTCGTTGTGAAACGCACGCCACGGATCTAAACTACAAATTCATGAATGTTTTATCCTTTCCTTCGAGCAGATGCAGTTTGCCAGGTTGTTATGAAATTGCAGGAGTGACTTTGTGGACGTCTTGTTCACTTTGGCTCAGACATTGAGAATAAAATCATGTACTTGCTTTGCTCTGGACATGGTGGTTAAGAAGGAAGAAAAAAAAAACTAACTGTGAAAAGCAGCTACTAATGGACTTGTGGTTGGATTGTTTTTCTCTCTTGCCCTCGGTTTCATCACTCATCTGTTTTAGTTTGTTTTTCTCCTCTTTAGCGCTGCGTAAAAGCAAATACTTGGTTATTACTTATGTTGTGGTTTAAGTCTCTGGATTAACCTCAGTGTTTTCCTATATTTGAATTGTATTCCTTGTCATGGTGCTGTCAACAACAACTTTTTACCTCATTATTTTTTTCACTCCGGCCAATTATTTTGTTCCACTGATGTTCCTTGTGATGCTTCTTCACCTTCTGTTAACACAGCTGCTGTACAGCGGAGGGTCAGAGGTCATGTAGATGAGGAGAAAACAACACAAACACAACAGCCTCTAACACAGACGCGCAGAGCTGAGCCAAAGGGCTAAATGATGTCAAAACTGAGGCTGTCCAACTGTCGGGCTGAGTCACGCTAGCTATTCTGGGATTGTTTTTTCTCCACTGTCTCCGCTGCTTTGTCCTAGACTGTCTGCTCCTCTAACTACTGTCATAATTAGCCTGTTAGCTTTCGTAGTTTACGCTGCTGTCGTCTGTGTTTGGCCGTTTATTTACTAAACTACGTCTACGCTGTGAAAAACCAGGTGGACTAACGGCCCCCGCCCTCCTCATTACTTTAAAAGCTTCCTTTAAGGATCGGCACCTGTCCTGCTGACCTTTGACTCTACCCCCCCCCCACCTCCCCGCTGCCTCCCTCTGACAGACCCTCCGCTCTGGTTACAATTGACAGGCATTGACATTGCACACTCACACACACGCAGGCTGGTTTTCATGAGTTGTGAGGACATCACAACATCAGAACCTAACCCGAACTCATTACAGATATATGTGTCGTCCTAATACTTACCCTAGTCCAGTACTTCTCAAGTAGTGGGGCGGGCCCCCCTGGGGGGGCATGGTGAGGTGCCAGAGGGGGCGTGAGGTGCTTCCAATGGAATATGGCTGCTGGAGTTACTGTATGTGTGACCAAATCATACAGCTATAATGTCTCATCTCACTTCAGTGAATTAGTCATCAGTCTGATCAATCACAGGGTCGGTCTTAGATTGATTGCGATTACCGTACTTTCCAGACTATAAGTCGCATTTCTTTTATCCTTTGCCTGGGTTTGTGACTTAATATATAATTTCACGTTTGTTATTTTCACACTGTCTTGACGGACATAACAGACAACAGTGCAATATAGACACAAATAATCTTAATAAATGCCAGTTTAAAATGAATACCTAAACCCTCATCTGCTTGCCCACTTTAAATTTTAGAATCAGAATCTGATTTATCACAGGGTAGCTGTGGATTAATCACGATTAATCAAGATATACAAACATTCCGAAATATGACAAAAAAGGTTTATTTTTCTGTGTATACAAATAACAAGTAAACATATAAAAGTATAGTACTAAATATAGTTTTATAGAGTTGGTGGATTTTAGTCATTAATGCTGTCTTCTAAAATGTGTTGACCATGTTTGGAGTCGTTTAAAAAAAACTTTTCGTGAAATCGTGGTCCTCAGCAATATTAATCAGTCTACGGTGTCTCACAGTCCATTGGACAATATTGACAGCTGTAGACTTACTGTCCTGCACTCGGTGACATTATTCTGACGCAAGCCAGGCGTCTCACCTGAGGTTGAAACCTCCATAAATACATGTCGACTGTTGAGATTGTATTTTGAGCTTGAAGTGTTTCAGTTAAATGAAAACGTGTGTGTAAATAACAACATATGTACATTGATGATTTACTGGAGCAAATATCATTGGATGGATAGTACAAAGTGTTACATATACAGTACTCATCATTCTGCCAATGTGTAAAAAATGTTGATTTTTTTATGCTAATTAATTTAGCAAATTGATTGATGTGTTAATACTGACAGATCCAGTTCATTCAGATGATCCCATATCTGTGTTCCTGACAATTCCCATGTTTGTTGAGCTCTTACTCCCTTATTTTCAGCACTGCGTGGCTCGCCACTCATATCGGAGGAAGTTTTCCTTCCTTTCCTTGCCAACTACCCACCCTCCCTCGCTTCCTCCCTTCGTGCTTCTCAAATTTCTCCAAGGAGCAGGACAGGAACAGTAAGAGCCGGTGCAGAATAGGAGCTAAGCTGGCGAGGTGATAATGACGCTGCCTCATTTTTCCAAATCCTGCTCCAAGTTTCCATTTTAAACATCCTGTTAAAATTTTCATTTACCAGTCGGTATTGATCATCCATTTTTAGACTTTTCATCACAAAGGGAATGAGTTTTTCCCTTTGTGATGAGGAACACGCACCAACTGTAGCAGTGAGACCGAGAGACGCATCAGGGCCCGGCTCTGGCTGAAGGGCTCCTCACCAAGAGATTTATATAAGTAGAGCTATGAGAGCTTTCTGTTAGGTATTACATATAAATATAAGCAAAACATATAAATATAAGTAAAACATGTAGCTACCATTTGGCTAACTCAGGCTAGGTTCTAAACTTCTGACTTGATTGTTTGTACTTTAGTTAGTTTTTTTTTAGCTAACTCATTGTGTAGTTCTTTTCGCAAACATTTCACAATTTCCGATCTCTTTGCTAACTTATCATTCCTTATCCATTCGTTAAATTCTGTTAACATGCCCCGCCTTCTACGCAGCAAACGTAGCTCTAATTCAAAATGGTTTATGTTTCTTCCCACTGCACAGAAACAGACATTATCAGATGAGTGTTTCACTCTTAAATGACCGTGGGTGTGGATGTGAGTATGAATTGTTGTGTTTTTGACCGTGGATGTGAGTATGAATTGTTGTGTTTATCACTATATGTGGTCCTGTAATGGACTGTCAGGCCTACTCTCCAGGATGTAGCCCCGCCCTTGCCTAATAAGCGCTCTGTTGAGCGGTGAGACTTAAACGCCAACGTTAAGCGTTCACACCCGATGAATCTTTCGTTCTGTTTGTAGCCATAAAGAACATCACATCTCTGTCCATGTGCACAGAAACAGAACAGTCCACTCTGTGGGTTGTCAGATGTAAAATACACTGTGCCGGTCTGGGAACATGTGGAGAAGAGAATTTTAATACAATGGAAGTTCATTAAATATTGATCTGCTCTCCATCGTACGAGGATTAATTCAAGCATTTATCAAACAAAGGACCAATAATAAACCTCAGCCTCTCTTCAGTGGAGCGTAGGCTGAATAACAACACACACACACACACACGCGCGCTCACTGTTTTCCCATCAGGCACCTGTCGTAAAACCCAACCCCAACATGGAAAAGTGACTTGCGTGATGACCTGCCTGCCCTGATCACTGGACCTTATCTCAACCCTGGCTCTCACGCCGTACACTTCGCACTTTTCAACCATCTGGAGTGAAGAGAAGAATATTTAATAACAAGTGTGTGTGTGTGTGTGTGTGTGTGTGTGGGTTGGAAGATCTGGCCCAGGACTGCGCCCAAAAAAAAGTCCTGAGCTGACAGCGCCACACGTCCTGTACGTGTCGTCAGCAGCGACCAGCAGCTGTCTCTCTCTCTCTCTGAAGGCTAAATATACTACCAGTCTGTTATGCCACACATTTCACACCGCTGCTCGTGTTACACTGTATTTTTTAAATAAGACAACACAGACAGGGGTTCATGTGTCAGCACGGTGGAAGGCGAGGAGGTTAACTCACACTGTGGGGCAGAAAAGGCCCATTTTCTTTATGGAATATGTCATGTATTTTTCATTGTGTTGCGTGTGAGGAGCCCGTGGACGGTGTCACTGTACGGTTTATGAAAGGCTCAGTTCATGTCATGTGTCAGGAAGTTATGTTGTACAGTGGATCTGGTTACCTGTGGAGTACATTTTTACTTGAGGATCAGTTTTTTACTCTTTAAATATTACATGACAAAATTGTTGTTGTCATATATATGTGTACGTATATATGCATGTATGTATATATACATATGTATGTATTTATATGAGAAAATAAAAAAAGTACTTCTCTCCAAATACTTTTATTTTGACATGGACATACTTTCACTTCATTAGGTGTGTTTTAGCCACAATTTCAAATTAAAATAGCTGTTTCACAAATGATAATAATAATAATGTATATATTTTTCCTCTTGGCCCTGTACCATACTCACTATGGACTGTTTCCAGTCTGCGGACCACATGTTTGGGGCATTGGCATCGTTATGGCTTCTCCTATTGTTTTAAAGCAGATGACAAAAACATTTTTTACTTTTATTCTTGAATTGAATAATTGTTTTTTTTTTTCATATATAGAGGTGTGAAATGACAGTTCATTTTTCATTATTCAGTGTTAAAACACTTTGATTTCTGATGTTGTGGCCAATTTTTTTTTGTTTTACAGGCTAGTGCAAAACATTCACTTATCTTGCTAACGATTGCAGTTAAACGGACATAAAATGACAATAAATTCTCTTCCTCCCTTTGTAACTTTGTGTTTTTCCTTTCTTCTCTCCTCTCCCCGGTTTGAATGCATTAACCATGCTCTCACCCCTGAGGATGTGACTCTCCTTTGCTTATAACTATGAATAGCCTCTGCTTTAACAACCCAATGAACACTTAATGTTTCCTCTTTAGCATACTGTTGGAGTCAATCCTGGGCCGAGGTGCTGTAATCACACAGGGCTGCGTTTAAAGTGAATGTCAAACTGCAGGTCGTATAAAAGCTTGATGATTGTTGTTTGGTTTTGTTTTGTTTTCAGGATAAAAGAATGGGTGGATCAGATGCAGAATGAGTTGGTCACAATGACGGATGGAGCCAGTGGTCTGCAGGACCTCACGCAGGTCAGCCGTCACAGTATATTATTGTTATTATCAATATTATTATTATTATTATTATATTATATATTGTAGATACATTATTACTATTATTAATCTAAGAAATAATAATAATTTATTATTATTAAAACAACAACAGTAACAATAATATTATAAAATAATAACACTAATAATTATTACTATCGTTATTATTATTATTACTGTTGTCATTGTTGTTTAATATAATAAATCCAATTAATATAAGTTATAAATAAATAAAGCTTTGTGGTATTTAATAAGGTCATTATTAGTGATATTTTCATTTATGCTAACTGGATCATTTGGAAACGTATGATATCCCATTACTTATAGTTCTTTCAGATGTGTTTTACAAAAGTATTCTTTGAAACATTTTTTTAGGAATATTTTTAAATATTGCCAGTTCTTCAGCCAACCTTTATTTAGATTATTTTTAGGATGATTTACTTTTTTTTTTCGAGCTCTAAGATAATTTTATGCTAACTTAACCATAGCTTGTACCGACCGATATTGTAGTTGTTCTTGTTATCATCAAGTTACCTAATCTTTATTTTTTACAGGACTATTTCTGACACTATTTTATTTCATAAATTAATGGGTTTTTTTTAGCAATTTGTCAAATTTTCTAATTTATTTCATAAATTAATGGGGTTTTTTTTTAGCAATTTGTCAAATTTTCTGACTACTCTCTTATAACCTCACAATAAAGCAAAATACATCAGATGGCTTGAAGGTGGGAGTACTCTCACACACACATCTCTCAGATGTCAGAGTGTGTGACAGTGGAATTCCCTCAGGCTGCTGAATAATTGGCTGTTTGGCATTTGTGAGACACATCTTCAAGAACAGAGGTATAAGTGAAGAGTACAAGTAAATACAGAGGTGAAGGAAAGTACTTCCTCCTCATATACTGTATGGTAGTTCTGAATTCACAACATATCACGTTTCTAACTGTTAATCATGTTCACACTTGACAAAGGAGTGTGTATGTTTTTCTTCTTTTTTTGGTTATTTACTATTTTGTTTCCTGTTTAACTGAATTTTGTCCATTTTACAGATTTATAAAACACACAAAGCTCACTACAGCGTAGAGAGAAACGATGCAAGACAACTGGTGGCAACAGCAGCCGGGAACATTGAAGGTCTTCTGGCCAACCGCTCCCGGGCCCTGAAGGTCAGTGTTACAGGAAAAAGACTGGGAATGTGGAAAACTGTGGCTCTGATCGTAGTCCTTTAAATAATTCACTTTTGACCTGACTTTATTAGAACTCTCTTGGTTAAAACAGGTTAGGTGAGTGTGTGTCATAGAACTGAAAAACTTTACTTGAATCAACTTTTGCTGCAGTAATTGATATAAACTAGCGATGTCTGATGTTGTTTTTTTCTGATATCCGATATGGCGATATTGTCCAAACCGATATCAAACGATCCCGATATAGGGCTGGTAATATTTATTTATTTATCTGGACAAACCACTGCATGAGTTTGAGATTAATTAAATGAGCTGCAATGCTGCCATCTTGTGACTTTCACTTTACTATGCAGCCATTTATCCCCAAAACTATTTTTAGACCACACATCATTTGACGAAACAGAGGCATTGCCTTATTGGATTTTTATTACTGGAGAAAAAACTGATGACGATTCTTACAGATATAACATTATGCTAATACTGGGCCGATATATCGGTCGGCCGATATTATCGGACAACTGATGACGATTCTTACAGATGTAACATTATGCTAATACTGGGCTGATAAATCGGTCGGCCGATATTATCAGACATAAATGCGATTTATAGCAGTGAATTGATAACAGTGTCGAAAATGTACAACTACTGCTGTTACTACAACAACTACTACTACTACCCCACTACTACTACTACGACTAATAATAACAATAATTTGAATCATAGTAATAATAGTGAAAATAATACTAAATACATTTTCTATGGTATATTAATCTCATTGTGTTCTGTATTTGGCTTCAGCCAGCTCATGTGTGCTGTAGCAGCCCTCTGTTTCAATGAAACTCAACAGCATCTGCTAAAGAAGGTTGACTGTCTGGATCAATCTGCCTCTGAGAACCAGAAAATCCAATTAAAGCCGGTCAACCTGTTGCCATCGTTACATTCTCATTGATTACACCATCAATCCAAGCAAGCCTTTTGTTTGTCCTACGTCCCAATAACTCCTGGAGGATGAGGGACTATCGAAAGTACGCATGTTTAGATTTTTTAAGCTAGAGTCCATTTGCGTTTGTCTCCAGCTCCAGTAGCTCCACAGTCTCAGACATCAACTGTAAATAATGTTGTGTTATAATGAAGTGGAATTGGAGCCAGCTTCACGGCCGTCACTTTATGGAAGTTGCCATAAATAGTAAAGGGCTGCACTTAGCTGCATCAGGAGCAGAAATGAGGGCAGGACTGTGGACGACGTCTTCATACACTAATGTTCTTGACCTGCAGGAAGACATTCATCTGGTTTTTATGTGCTCAGTGAATCCTGAAGCCTCATTGGACCTGCCAGCCATAACTTTGTCCTCTGTCTTTCATGCCTGCATCTCTTCAGTCTCCGTCCCTCATACGTACAAGTGGAAAAAAGAGCGGTAATAAGAGTGCATTACGCTCCACTTTCCATTAGGCAGCACACAGCGTTGTGTTGTGACTCCAGTTTACACTTCAGAGGTGATAAATCGTAGCACAGTGCACTGTGGGAAGTGAAGCAGACCAAATTCTCAGATGCAGAAAGAGAGAGTTCCTTGGTGTAAAGTGGAGTTCTTGGTGCGTCACTGCTGCAGAAAGACATTTCTCTGAGTCTGTGAAGATTCTCATTCTTCCAGGTCATGTTATCCAAATTGTTTAGTAAACAACTGGACTTCTTTTTGGATCTTGAAAGATGTTTCATTTCTCAACTGAGGAACTCAGTTTCTGGTTAATGTAAACAAACAAAAAAAAGTACTATTTTATTTTAGGAAGATTCACTGGGCTGGTTCTTCATCTGTGGGAGCAGACACCAGATGACCTTCATGGACATTGGGACTATGTGACATCATACCTTACCCTCTAGAACCCACTTAACTACTTCATGAAGAAATTACTTCAAATTAGCCCAGAAATGTTAATGTAAAAAGAGACAAAGAAAGATGTTGAATTGCTAAAAATTGCTGAAGCAAAGATAATAAGCAGTTAGAGCTAAAAAAAGAGAAAACAAAAAGTGAATATATGTGCTGTAGCCAAACCAGTAAAAAAAATAAAAATAAAAGACAAGATTTTTGAAGGTCAAGCCTTTGTTAAAGCTAAAGGAAAAGATGGGTGTAAGACAAAAGGCTACAGATTTTTCAAAGTCAAACTATATAACCAGGGATGTCAGATATTAACTTTTTGCCTTTATGCCGATATTGTCCAAACACTTAATTTCCGATTCCGACATCAACCGATACCGATATAGGCTTGGTAATATTTATTTATCGGTACAAACCACTGTATGAGATGCTGGGGACAGCATTCGGCATACAATTCACTGAATATTAAAATAGATTAATCAATGAGCTGCACCAGCATTCAGCATACAATTCACCATTAAAATAGATTAATCAATGAGCTGCAGTGCTGCCATCTATTGACTTTAACTTTCATATACAGCCGGTTCTCCCCTAAAATATTTTTAGGGCACACGTCATTTATCGAAACCCAAGCATTAGGCTATCGGGTTTTCATTATCGGAGGACAAAACGATAACAATTCTTACAGATATCAAATCATTTTGCTAATATCGGGCCAGTATTATCGGTCGGCTGACCTACATTTAACGATTGAGTACATGTAACACCAAGTATTTTGGGAAACAAATTGCTTTAACGATTGAGTACATGTGACACCAAGTATTTTGGGAAACAAATTGCAGAAATATTACAAATTGAAGCAAGAATTCACGAAAATTTTTAGTAAGATATTTTCTAAGGCTAACTAAATGTTAGGCCACAAATACTACACGTTAAACTACAGTAGTACCCATTCTGCTGTGTATTATAGGCAGTGATATGCAGTATTGTATAGATGCTTGATGTTTACGTTTTAATTAGCGGTTTCTTTGTCTCCTCTGGCTGTGCTCCATATCGCCGTATTCCCTGGGCTTCTACGTACAGTAGGATCTCATTAGAGCGATGGCTGCTGTCGTTAACTTAATCAGAGGAAACACATGGATCTGGTGTCAGTCAATACAACATCTGCCCATAGTGTGAACCCATTCCAATCAGAGCAGTTGACACTGACGCTCCCCTGATGTGAAGTCTCTTGTGATTCGTCTGCCGAGGTTTATCGGAGAGAGGCGGCTTCAGTCGGAGCTCAACACTAATGAAGCCGATCATTTCAAACAGCGCCTGACGTCAAGGGTGAAGAAAACAAACCACCATGCTGCAGGCATGAGTACCTTACGCTTCTGTTTACGATGTTTCTATGTAGAGTTGTTGAACTGAATAAACACAGTAGGTGGCAGTAATGGAACCTTCAGAGGCTATGGACTCTAATATGAACAAGGGTTTGTTTAGGATCAGGGGAAGGATCGGAACGAAGAGACAGACATGGGCGATTGTCGAAGTTGTGGGACTAAATCTAATTTTAAAAATTAATCTTACATTTTATAGATATGTTTGAAAAAGATCGCAAATTCAGGCTTTAATAATCCAAATAAATTTCAAGATGCAATAAAAAAAGAAAATTGTCATCAAGAACAAACCTCCAATTAAAACTAACTATAAAAGACAAAGCCTCTTTTTAAATTTCTAAAAAAACAAACTCCGTCAGTCTTTACAAAACCAAGTATAAAAACCATTAAAAGGTTAAAAAACAAATCAACACTGTAAAATCCAAACAGTTAGCATAGCAAAGGCTATAAGCTAGCATTATTTTTTAAGTGGAACCTACCATGAATTGAGCTAATAAAGCGCAGTTTAATTGTATTCTGAAGCTCGGTTGAATGTTGCTTCATTTAAAAAAGAAAAAAAAAAAAATCCATTTTGTAAAACAACCTGAACTCCCACATAATCAACTGTTTATGTCTGACCTCTGACCTGTTGACTAATTGTGAAGGCACACATCTGAACCGATCGCGCACACACGTCGGGTCCGTTCATTACGCTGACCCTTGCTGCCGTTTTTAAACCCACCTCTCTCCCTGATATCCAGGCCACCTCTGACTGCGGCCTCATCAATTATTAAGCCCCTCCTCTTTACTTTGATGGAGCCTGTGGTTAACTTCCCCCGGTGGAATGGCTCGATTCCTCTTCCTCCAGCGACAGCGGCGCAGACCTCAGATGTGTTCATTTGTCACTGAGCAGCAGGGCGGCGACTGTGCTGCTGTGGTTCTTACAAAGCAGAGCCTCGCCGTTTTAACTGTACCACAGAGAACATCTCTGATGGGATGGACAAAAAAAAAAAAAACAACATTTCACCTGACCGAGACGATTAGCAGTCGAATATGTCCCTGTTTGAGGGAAGGTCAAAAGGTCCTTGGACAGATGTTGGAAAAATTAAAAATTAAATTTGAAAACTAAAATATTAAATGTTTTATTACTTTTTCCAACACAAAATTATTTGGACAGAACTGAATTCCATTCCTTGGGGCGAGAAAGCAGGTTGTGACCTTGTATTAAAAACACTCCACAAAAAAAGTATTTCCCTTAAAGAGACACTGCTCGCTAGAAGCTCAAATAGAGGAACTTTTTGACTTACCCTTGTACAGAGGCACTGCTCGCTAGAAGCTCAAAAAGAGGAACTTTTTGACTTACCCTTGTACTTTGACCAAGACGATGTGATGTAGGCCATTCAGCATGTTCCATTTTTAATGGATTCAAGTGAAAAATTTGAAGAAAAATCCTTGATTTGTTCAGTGGAGTTTTGCAAAGGCCGATGTCAAATGACTCATTCCGTTTGAATCTAACAACCTCTCGTGGTTGAAGGACTACAAAGCCACTCGAAAGTTGTGAAATGTCGAGTTTCTTTCGAAAAAAAATCCTTACAATCTCACAAAGTGCTGGTCTTTTTAGTCCATTACGAAGTGTAAGACCTTTAATCTGAAGCTCTGAAAAACTTATAAAATGACAACTACACTGGCTTAGTTTGAGCTTTGGTTCATAAAAACATGATCATGGTAAAAAGTTGTTCGACTTAAAGGC